TATTAGAGTTCTGCGTGGGTATTAAGTTGACATCAGTGTGTCCAAGCTAATTCTAATTCTTCCTTTCTACACACATATGTATGGCGTGTGATATCTGCACCCCTCAGAAATCCTAAATATTACATTTTTTTGAAATCCTTATCCCAATTGTCACCTCGATACCCTTTCACGCATCTTCCAAATCCTACCAAATTCACCCCTCAACCCTGAATTCCATCCGTCTCCACAGAGCGTCGCCACTGGACGTTGCTAGATTCCGCTGCTGGTGGTGAACTGGCTAATGCGGCCGGTGCGCAGCCCATGCGGTTCATTCATTCACACACTCGCACACCCCCCCACACACACCACACCACCCACACCCATACCCACACCCACACCCCCACCGCTGCATCTGGTAGTGGTAGTAGTGGCTACGCTACACACAGCGACCACACCCGTGCGCACAGCACCACACAGCCACACACACGCGCCCGCCCCACCGCACGCTACAGACACGAGGCAGTGGCCGATGACGAGTACATGTACGTGGTCGGAGGGGGCGTGCCTAACCCCTCTCGCGCACCCATAGAGGTGTACACATACCGGTTTGCTACGGGTGAGTGGCTGCTGCGTGCCTGTAAGCCGGATGTGTGTAGCATGCGCAAGGGCCAGGAGGAGTATCCCACGGCCAGGCGATCGCACTCGTGTGTGGTGTTTGGTGGACGGCTCTATATCTACGGCGGTACGGATGGTCTGAATATGTTTGATGATTTTTGGATGTTGGAGACGACTGACTTCCAGGTGCGTGCGTGGGTAGGGACGGGGGATGTGTGTTAGTGAGTGTGTGGGTGTATGTGAATGGGTGGGTGGGTGTATGCGGGTGCTGTGATGTGTGAATGTATATGAACGTGTTATTGGTTGCGGTGGTCATACTCGATTCATACAACTATCTCGCATATATGCAGTGTCACGATGGTGTTTGGTGGTGCGGTGCATATAGCTGTAGCTACAGATATAGATATAGATTATAAATAAATAGATATA